TTTCGTCTGAAAAGCGACTTTCAACATTATTACTCACTTACTATAATTATTAAAGCCTCATAATAATTATTAGGGTCAATTATGGAATTATCTCATAATTATCTAATTAATTTCCTTAATTAGCAGTGCGGGTTCTTACAAGATCACTTAGTGGAGCTCAATATTTTGTTTTATTTATTGATGACCACTACCGCAAAGTATGAGTATATTTGTTGAAAACTAAAGACCAGGTACTCTAATCCTTTAAAGAATTTCATGATATGGTGGAAAAGGAGACTGGCAAGAACGATCTCACAATGATGGTGAGTACTGCGACCTTTTTGATGCATATTGCAGAGCATCCAAGATTTGACTTGAGAAGACGCCACCCAAGACACCTCAGCTGAATGGACTACTAAAAGGATGGACCGAACTATTCAAGAGAAAGTCTGCAGTATGCTATCCAATGCCGGATTGCCGAAATCAATCTGGGGAGAAGTCGTAAGAACTGTTATTGACTTGATCAACCTCTCACCATCACGACCACTAGAAGGAGAAATTCCAGAAGAAGTCTGGACAGGTCAAAAAGTGGCCTATGATCAATTGAAAGTATTTGGATGTCGAGCTTTAGTGCATATCCCTAAAGACGAAAGGGAGAAACTAGATGCAAAGACTAAAGAATGCATCTACCTTGGTTCACCGAGATGCGAATTCGGATTCAGACTTTGGGATCCAATCAACAAGAAGGTATTGAGAAACCGAGATGTGGTATTTCATGAGAACGAGACTATTCAAGACATTTCAAATCCTAAAGTCTAGGTAATTGTAAGACGTGTAGAACCTATCCCTCATGTTCGAGCTGAAACAGGGGAAGAAAATCAAGAGAATGAAGAAAATAATGAGAATGAACAAGGTACAGAAGATCGAGTTCTCGAGGACCGAGATGTTGAGGTCTAGGATGATGAGATCCGAGATGAGCATGATGAGCTGGATTCTCAACCTGAAGAATAACCCAGACACTCTACTCGAGTGAGACGTCCTTCTACGAGGTACCTCCCCTGATGAATACACTGTTGTTGCTAAAGATGGTAAACCTTAGAGTTTTGATAAGGCTGTGACGAGCTCAGATAAGGAAGAATGAGAAAAGGAAATGCAAGACAAGATGAAGTCTCTGCACGAGAATTAGACTTATGAGCTGACCGAGCTACATGAAGGAAGAAGAGCTCTGAAGAACAAACGGGTTTACAAAATCAAACATGAAGAGAATAACCAGAAGTCGAGATACAAAGCTCGAAATTGTGGTGAAAGGCTGCGGCTAGAAGAAGGAGTTGGTTTTGAAGAAATATTCTTTCTTGTGGTGAAAATGACTTCGATTCAAACCGTGTTAGCCATGGCGACTTCGATGAACCTTGAAGTGGAATAGATGGATATGATGACGACATTCCTTCATGGAGATCTTGAAGAAGAGATATATATGGAGCAACCTGAGGGGTTCTGAGCTCCAGAACAAGAAGACTTGGTATGCTGGTTGAAGAAGAGTTTATATGGCTTGAAGCAAGCACCTCGGTTGTGGTACAAGAAATTTGAATTTTTCATGACTGATCACAAGTTTGTGAAGACAGATGCCAACCACTGCGTATTTGTGAAGAGGCACGAGGCTGGAGATTTTCTGATTTTGTTGTTATATGTTGACGACATGCTGATTATAGGGCAAGACAAGATGAGGATAGCCGCCCTGAAAAAGGCATTGAGCTTGTCCTTCGCAATGAAGGACCTCGGCCCTGTAAAGCAGATACTCGGAATTAAGATTATCTGAGATAAACAAAAGAAGTTATTGTGGTTGAGTTAAGAAAAATACATTGAGAAAAATTCAGAAGAGATTCAACATGGACAAAGCTAAAACAGTGAGCCCCCCTAACCGGACACATAAAGTTAAACCAGAAGCAATGTCCGAGATCTGATGAAGACAAAGACGATATGTTGAAGATCCCGTAACAATCCGCTGTCTTAAGCTTGACGTATGCAATGGTTTCTACAAGACCCGACTTGGCGTATGTTTCTGGAATGGTAAGTCGGAATCTGTCAAACCCCGAAAAAGAACACTGGGAAGCAGTGAAGTGGATTTTCAAGTATCTCATAAAAACAACAAAGTTGTGCCTTTGATTTGGAGAAGACAAAGTCGAGTTGCAAGGCTACTCGGATGCTGATTTAGGGAGAGATTCCGACTTGAGGAAGTCAACGATGGGATATATGATGACTTTTGCAGGAGCAGCTATATTTTGGCAATCAAGACTACAGAAGTCTGTGGCACTTTCGACGACTGAGGCCGAGTACTTAGTGGCGACTAAGGCAAGCATAGAAATGTTGTGGATGAAGAAGTTTCTCTCTAAACTTGGCTATGATCAAGACAAGTACGAACTGAGATGTGAATATCAAAGCGTAATTCATGTTATGAAGAATTCGACCTATCACTCTCGCACTAAGCACATTGATGTGAGGTATCATTGGATTCGGGATGTGTAGAAGGTGAAGAGCTTGAACTCGTCAAAATGCACACCGACCTGAATTGGTTCGACATGATGACGAAGTCGATACCAACATGGAAATTTGAAAACTGTTGTGAAGGTGCCAGTTTACTGATAAAGCCGACACATTGGGGTCGAAAGGGGAAGATTTGTTGGGCTTCCTCCTTAATGCTAAGCCCAAAGCTTATGAGAGTTCAAGAAACCGTAATCCTTCTTCCTCCCCTATATAAGCATTAGTTGTGGGATGGAGGTAGGTTAGAGAAAGAAAAGAAAAAGGTTGACTTGTAAGATTTGAGGGTTTTAGGTGAAAAGCTCAAAGCTTTGATTTTTAGAGCACCTCTAGGGAGAAGCTTGAGTGTTATACCTCCTTAGGAAAGTTTGAGAGAAAACCACCATTGTAGGTGAGGTTTGAGTATACCACTATTGTTGGTGATGCTTGATCTTTTGTAACCCATTATTTTCATAGTGTAAGTTTGATTCCGGACTAGTGTCCGTGGATTTTTACTTCTTCTCATTGGAGAATATTTTTCCATATTAAAAATTGTTGTGTTCTTCTCTCTCTCTCTCTCTCTCTCTCTCTCTCTCTTTTGTGTTTTTCATTTTTATGTTGTGTTGGCCAACCTGATGATTTAAGTCGACCTCTGATTGAAGAACTGAGCTCTTACCTTGATGTTTGACTTCCGCAAAGGCTTCTTAGCCGAGTTTAAGGGAGACGAGTTCCCAACACAAAAAACCCCAATGGTTTTTCTTATAATCATTTACCCCCCATGATATTCTGTTTATTATTTACTCCCCTATGGTTTTTTTTTTCATTCAGTTCACCATCTAACACTATTAAAAAACATATTAGATTATTCGTTTTGCCCTTATGAAAAGAAGGGATGTGATATTATGCCTATTTTTTTTCATGCCTACTCTACCTACTCATCTGCAACACCGTTAGATTAGAATCTCAAGAGGAGAGAATAAGGGTGAAGGTTAGTTGAGATTTTAATCTAATGGTGTTGGGGATAAATATGTAGAGTATGCATAAAAAAGGTAGGTACAATACCCTTTCCTTTATAAAATTTATAGCAAACTGTTAAAAAACTTTTCTTTCTAAACGATGTTGACAAAAAAATTACAATAAAAGCTGCAAGTTAGCAATTAATTTCGATCTTTCAATAAGACAATATTCACAACATTGTTAGCAAGAATGAATGCTTAACTTAGAATTATTATTTTTCTTCTTACAAATTTATATATCTTTAATAAAACTGATTTAACTTGAGTTTGATAAATGTATTAATATCTTAAATTTAATAAATAAAATTAAAGATTATTTAAGTAATCAATTTATATGTAAACATATTTTTATTCTGGGTTCAAAAATTAAAATGAAAAAAAATGTGAGCCAGAGATTGGTAACAAAGAAAATCAAAATATTGAAAAAAAATACTAATATATTAAGGAGTAGATTGGTCTATTGATGTATAGTATTCACCAATATTATGCTCAAAGCTATAAGCAAATATGCACAAATGATAAACGAATTGACCACGAATAAAACAAAAAAATCTAAAATAATTCAAATAAATGAGGAGCTAATTGAGTTAAATTAAAAAGAGTTCAATTTAAGTTAAATTCGAGTTAAGGGTTTGAACATGTAATATACGTTTAATTAGTTTCCTTAGTATTATAATAAATTAACAATATATCATATACTATGAGGTTGGATAAAAAAAGTACTACACTATGAAATTTTCATCTTAAGAAGTTGAAAAAGGTGACTAGGGTAGTGATTCTTTTTAGAGATACGATATTATGTCTATATTTTTTCATATCTATTCTACCTACTTATCTCTAACACCTTTAGATCAAACATTGCAGTATAAAATTCTTATCTATTCAATTAGAGTTGGATAAAAAAATATATTTTAGTATAAAATTCTTGATCTCTACAATGATCCTCTTTAATTTAATTTTTTCGGAGTTATAAGGTGGATAGGATGAAAAACATTGTAGGGGTAAATGCTAAAAAAAAAAAAGTTTTATACTTCTCATATTACATGATATGAGTCTTCTTATGCCATAGATACAAAAATCACATGAGACCCATATATTAGAAAAAGTTATGTGTAAAACCTATGTCAGCACGAAAATCGAAAGACATGTAAAATATAAAGGGATAAGATATTGTGACAACCAAATAATGTTACTACCACATCTTAACTGTTGATTTCCACTAATCAACGATTATCATTTTTCAAATCAAACTCATTAATTAATTATTAATTTGCAATAAATGATAATCGTTGATTAGCAGAAATCAACGATTAAGATGTGGTAATAACATTAGTAGTAACATTATTTGGTTGTCACAATATCCTATCCCAAATATAAAACCAAAAAAAAGAAAAATATCCATAAATGATTACGAGAGAAACATAGGGATTTTTGACCTATTTCCCTTTTAATTATAAACATACTTAAAAATGCCCAACATGACATCGAAACTCCTATGTAGACGGAAAGACAATAAAGCCCTGTTCCGTGACCGTGTCCCCTATCTGAATGACGGAAAATCTCAGTTCCTCTGACTCTGCCGGCGATGGTGGCACAACTGTGAAGGAGTGCCAACGCATGATTCAAAACAGTCTCCAGTGTATGTCAACTTTTTCCTAGAATATATTATTTACTGTTCCATTTTCATTAATGTCCCAGATCTTACTACCGTTTATGGTTTTTTGATATCACAGCCCCTTCATTCTAATTCCCTTTTTCTTACTCATGGCATCCTTAAACTTCAATTTCTTATAGGGTGTACAAATTATTAAAAAAAAAATAGCTCATAATTTCACCCTTGAAAAGTGGAATTTGCCTCGATTAGATTAAAGAACCAATTCAACTCAAAAGTTTAAGTTGTTAGATGATTTTTTGAATGATTTATATTATTTTCTAACACAGCTACATGCAAAAGCTCTTTGAAATTGAATCATGGATATTGCATGGACTATTTTGTTTTTTATTTTTCTTATGCTTATTTAATTCTACTAAAAAATGGTGGACGATGAGGATTGAACTTATAACCTTACGGTCCTTATACCGTGTAAAGAATCAATTCAACTCAAAATTTTAAGCTATTAGATGATAGCCTTTTTAATGGTTTATATTATACTTTAACAATCATCAATTCTAGCTTATCATAGGGCTCGTTGTGGTGCTTTTCCTAATTCTAATTTGTGTTACTTTATGGGGTTATTTGATTATTTTTTGTCAGCTCCAACGGTGAAGTTCTTGAGGGAACACTTAGAGAAAGCTGGGTGTCTTATAGGAGACAATTTCATCAAAGCTGTTAACTGCGAGCAGAAAGTAGCTGGTGGTTACACTCGTGGTGAAGGGGTACTTTTTTCTTTGTTTATTTATTTCCTGTTTTGTTCTTTTTGATGGAAAAATTTATATCTGGTTTTCCCCTAATGAGAAGTTGAGAACTTGATGCTATAATTGTGTTTGGCCTCTACATTCAAATTTATATCTGTCCTTTTTATTTTATTTTTTTGGGGGACAAAAAATTTTAGGAGAGAAGTGATTGCCACATTCCTTATGTATGGTGGTATGGTATTTAGAGAAAGCTGAGTCAGTCGTCATTGGCTAAAAGAAGATGATTTAATTTGCGCGCTTGGTGAAGAAAATAAGCTATTAATTATATTCTCGATGAGTGTTTGAATAATATTTGTGTTCAGTGCTTCCTTTGATTGTAAGATACGGTTTGCAATTTACTGAAGTTATCTTTCTACTTTTTTTGGTGTGCCTTTGTCTCAGATAGTTGTATGCAGTAATGAGACAGAATCTCAAGATGAGGTTAACCGAGTGATAATTCATGAGCTAATTCATGCATTTGATGATTGTCGTGCTGCAAACTTGAATTGGACTAATTGTGCTCACCATGCTTGTAGTGAGGTTCCTATCCAACAATGTGCCCTTACCCATATTAAGTTTGTTGGAGTTTTATATCTTAGCCTCCTATAATCACTATTTGTCAACTTATTATGTGAAACAGATACGAGCTGGTCATCTAAGTGGTGATTGTCATTACAAACAGGAACTTTTACGAGGTTTTCTGAAAATAAAAGGGCATGAACAAGTATGTTGTTTCTTTCTTTCCTCCATTTATACAAACCATGTATTTTAGTTGAATATTTTGTGAGAATAACCTGCAGCAGCTTTACTTTGTTATTTTTTAAAATATCTAGAGATTAATTGTGAAGAGGAAAGTATTATTAGAGTTGATAAAGTATTCAAAAGTGGCTTTATTCTCAAAAGTTTTAAAATTATTTCAGACGTACGTTAGTAATTTTAACATCAAATCATAGTAGTCAATAGCGGCGCTATTGCGCCGCAAGCCGTGCCAGTTGCGCTTTGCGGAGCTTCGCTGCAACCATCTGCGCTGCGCTGCACCAAATCGCAATAGCGGCCGCATTTGCGGCCAAATCTCGCCGCAATAGTGTCTTTTTATGGTTTTAACCCTAACCCACTCTCTCTTTCTGCCTCTCTGTTGTGTGTCTCTCTTCTGCCTCTCTTGCTTTCTTTATCGTGCTCGTTTCTTCCCTTCTCTACTTCTCTCTTATAGTATTGAAGTTCAATGTGGAAGCCATGAACGAAGAAGCAAAGCTTTGAGTGTGTGTGTGTGAGAGAGAGAGAGAGAGAGCCGATGACGGAGAAAAGGAGAAAAAGTGAGAGAAATAGTAAGAGAGAGAGAGAACATATGAAGGAGAAAAAGAGAAGCTGTGAGAGAGAGAACAGATGAAAGAGAAAAAGTGAGAGAGAAAGAGATTTTGATCTATCTTTATTCAAAGAAAAGAAAAGTACATTTGTCAGAAAAGTGATTCACAAGTCACGGTAACCAAGTAACTTGGTTATAGTAACAGTGGGTAAAACTATTTCTATATCCCAAAAAAAAAAGAATGTATCATTAAAAGGTAACTAAGGTAAAACACTAAAGTAACTAAGATAAATCTGGTAAATCAGTAAAGTATAGTTACAACTAAAGGTAGTACAACTATAGCTAAAGTTTGGACACTTATTACTAAGAGGTAACATGTCAACTCTGCCTTTATTTTTAATTTTTTTTTATTATTTATCTTTATATTTTTTTTATTATTTGTATTTTTATTAGGTGTTATTATTTTTTTAATAATTTATTATGTTACACACACACATATATATATACACATATAATTTGTTTTTTTAATAAATATATTTTTTCCGCTATTTCCGCAACCGCAACCCGCAATAACGCTATAGCGATTTTGAGGATTGACCGCAATCCGCATTTGATAACTATGCATCAAACATGGAGCAGCTTTTTTGTCCTCTTTGATAAAAGAAGAAATTCATTTAGATGAAGATATAGAAAGTGTTAGGAGGATAAGGGTTCCCCCTTAACATAAAGAGAAAACACACAGAACAGAGAACAAAGATCAAAAAAGAGAAAAAACATCAATGAAGCAAAGCTGTAAGGGAAAATCCCTTGAAAAGACCATGTGCCTTATGCCAAATGCCTTATTTTATCCCAAATCAGCTACTGGTCCAACGAAATCTTCTTAAAGATACACGAATTTGTTCCAACCAAATGAACCTAAGTGTAGCATAGATTGCACATTGTCACAAAGATTTAGCTTCTTTACTTCTACCAAAACCATTAAAGCTAGTCATAAGAAATTTTTCGAAGGACTAGGGCACACCCAACATTCACCTAAATGCCAAATAATGAATTATATAAAGAAACAGCAGCAGAACAATGTAATAGCTGACAAGGAACTGATTTTGAGCTTGAACCACACATATCAAGGTAAATAGCCTTATCAGGCCTACGAACATGCAACATGTCATTGGTATTAATTTTATTAAGCGATGCAGTCCAAGTAAAATATTTGACCTTAGAGGGAGCTTTAGACTTCCAAAGGGGCTCATCAAGGCAGAAAGGTAGCTTTATTCAATGAATATGTTAGGAATTGAAAAAAAGATTTGCACAAAAACACTCCATGAGAATTAAGAGAACAAATCTTTTTTTTTGGACTAAAGGACAAAAAGAATAGAGTCAAGGAGACCCAAAAGAAACTCCAGTGTAGAAAATTCCCTAGCATTCATGTTGCAAAAAAATGTCAACATTCCACGAAATAATGAAGTCTTGGACACTACAGAACTTGTGGATGGGAGAGTTGCATAGGGCAGAGGGAATGTAAAGATGTGCGAAAGTAAATCTAGAAAAGGAACCGCCTACCTAATTGTTCACCCATAGACTGACACGAGAACTATTTTCTACCCTCAAGGAAATCAAAGAATTGAAGGTAGAGTAACAATGTGAGATAAATTTCCAATGTCTAAAATGAGAAGTTTGAACTACTGTATTGGCATCCTGCCCATTTTGGTCTAAGCCATATTTATTTTGGATAACCTGATTCTAATGGGAAATAGGTTCCAAAGGAAATCACCACAGTCATTTTCCCACCAGAGCAATTTTCGTAGGTACCAACTTACCATGACTTGTACCCCCTTCCCTCTTAGGTCAACAATACAACTCTCAACTCAGCAGATGATCATGTCTCACAGCCGTAACATCCAATCAAAGAAAATCCCTTGTAATGGCAACTCCCACTAGTATATGGAATACATATAAGTAATAGAAAGGCATCCTGAATAAGTGTTTTCTGACTCCCTAGAGAAAAATAATGTCCTTTATAATTGTCTAGGCACTTAGAGATCTTAATTCTCAACAATTAGGTTCCAAAATGAAACAGCTATAGGATTGCCACCCAAGCAGATACCGAACTAAACAAGAGGCCACTTAAAAATCTCACTACCTGCCAGTGAAGCAAATTAGCAGAGAGTCTGAGAGTCTACACTAATACCTGCCAAGTAACTTTTGGACAAATTATTTTTCAATCTAGAGATCAACTGGCAAATGAGATTAAATTACTTATATCCCCTTCTCAAACTTAAACACACACTTTTAGCCCCGTTACTTTTAAAACCTACAAACTCCTCTATTTTGTTTATGAAAGTTCAAACAGTGTTAAATTTGTTTTGAAAAAACTAAAATACACTCAATAGTTTGAATTAATTAGTTGTACTTGTTAAAAACATATTTTCTTTCTCGGAGTTATTTGACAAGTTGACTTTTGTTTCTCAAATGATGTAAATATACTTGAGGGAAATATTCACATGTGATATGTCTAAGATGTCTTTACAGCCAACAAATCTCTTTGGGGAAAAGTTTCTCTTTGGCCTCTCTGCTCTTTGGGACACAGTCTCTTTAAGGGGACGTCTCTAGTAGATATGCAAAGGGACTGGAGAGAGAGCTCTTTTGTTTTAATCTTGTTTGTTTATTTATCCTCCTCTCCTTTGCACTCATTTTGTATTAACCCTACAACTTCTTTTATCTTAAAAAGTTTGAATATTAAATGCAATTTTCTAGTTTCAAACGGGCAAATGATAATAAAATAGAGGCTATAATCTCATATTATTGTTTTATAGAACAACTGATAGAAATAAAAAAAATCATTTCCCATTAAATCCGACTAGGGAGTGTGGGATGGAGGTAACTGATAGAAATATAATATAAAAATATAAAACCATTAATCTGTCTTAATCTAACCATTTAAGCTTTTAGGATAGTTGGTTGCTTGACATGGTATCAAGGCCTCTCTGACCAAGTTACTTAGAGTTTGATCCTTGCCGCTCTCATTCGTCTAATAATCTTTTAATAAATATTGTAAAATTTCTTAGCAAAAATATGTGGGCCTATGCACTGTTTAACATTCAACCCCAATGAGCTCTTGTATGAGAAGTCATATTAGAAATGTAATATAAAAATATAAAATCATTTATTTGCCTTCACCTAACAGTTTAAGTTTTTGGGATAATTGATTGCTTAGTGTAAAGAACCAATTCAACCCAAAAGCTTAAGCTGTTGGGTAAGGCTACATTAATGATTTTTATATATCTCAACACGCTCTCTCACAAGAGAGTTTATTGGGCTTGAAAGGTGGATGATGCAACAGGCCTAACCTACCTGTGCTAAGAAATTCCATAAGAGAAAGTGGGGGGCGGCGAGGGTCGAACCCGAGACATGAGGCTCTGATACCATGTAAAAAACCAATTTAACCCAAAAGTTTAAGTTGTTGGGTGAGGCTACATTGATGGTTTTATATATCTCAACACTTAGCAACAACTAAAATGGACAGTCCACTATTAGCTATGTTGCAGTTTAAAATAGTACTTAGATGCCTATTGATGAAGTTGGTGCTTGCATTTCTTGCATGTACACATGGAAGATTAGGACTACGATTTTAACAACTGTTACACTACCTACATATCTTGAAACTGATCATTTCATAGCAAATGTACAGGAATCATGAGAACGAGGAATTGTTGAATAAACGTTAAATGTGGAGTTATGTGTCAGTTTAATTTTAATGGGTTTAATTCAGCAATCAATTTAGTTTTTAATGGGTTTAATTCAGCAAACGTTAAATGTCAGTTTTATGTTTTTAAGTTTCTGAAATTATGTGAGTTTATTGTGATGTTAAGTGTCTTTATTGTAGAGTTACAAGTTTTGTAATTTAAATCTATTGTTTGAATGTAAAAGTTACGACTTCTGCCTTAGTAAAAATCCTTTGTTTTACTCTTCTCCTAACAAATTGGTATCAGAGCTATGGAAAGGGGGAGTGATATGGCACTACCTAAGTTGACGAAGGAGAACTACGAGAATTGGAGCATCCAGATGAAGGCTCTTCTCGGATCCCAGGACGCTTGGGAGAATGTTCAAGCAGGTTTTGTAGAACCACAAGATACTGGAGGCTATTCAGCGGCTCAAACTAAAGCGTTGAAAGAGACGCGTGCAAAAGACAAGCTGGCGTTATTCATGCTCTTCCGAGCTGTAGACGAATCCGGGTTCGAGAAGATAGCAAATTGTGAGACCTCAAAGGCAGCCTGGGACATCTTGGCAAATGTCTATAGAGGAGCTAACCGGGTTAAACAAGTCCGGCTTCAAACCCTTCGTGCCGAGTTGGAGGGAATGAAGATGAAGGACACGGAAGGAGTATCCGGGTTCGTTGCCCGGGTTCAAGGAATTGTGAACCAGTTGAAACGGAATGGAGAAGATATACCTGACACCAGAGTGGTGGAGAAAATCTTGAGATCTTTGACAGACCAGTTCGAAAACGTGGTTTGTGCGATAGAGGAGTCCAAGGATCTGTCTACACTCACCATTGACGAGTTGGCGGGTTCCCTTGAAGCGCATGAACAAAGAAAGAAGAAGAAGGAGGAAACTCTTGAGCAGGTACTTCAGACCAAAGCAACAATTAAAGATGAGAAGATGCTCTATTCTCAAAGTTTCCGAGGTAGAGGACGTGGCCGCAGTGGACGAGGTACTAGCCGTGGTGGTAGAGGTCGAGGCCGAAGTCAAGAAGTGTATGGTGATGAGGTAGGACAGTCAAATCAACAAAACTGGAGAGGACGAGGACGAGGTCGACGAGGAGGTCGGTCACATTATTCAAACATCGAGTGTCACAAATGTGGAAAGTTTGGTCACTATGCGAAAGATTGTAACTCGGACAAGTGTTACAACTGTGGCAAAGTCGGACATTTCGCAAGAGAATGGAGAGAGGAGAAAAAGGTGGAGGAGACGTCCAACCTAGCCACAGAAGGTGAGATGAAGGATGGTGTCTTGTTAATGACACACAGTGAAGGAAGTCCTGACGATGACATGGAGTGGTATCTTGACACGGGTGCGAGCAACCACATGTGCGGACATAAACACTTCTTCAAGGAGATGATAAAAGTGGAAACCGGACATGTTTCGTTCGGGGATGCCTCAAAGGTTGAGGTAAAAGGCCGAGGTACGATCTGTTTCCTACAAAAGGACGGGTTAATTGGCTCAATTCGAGATGTGTACTATGTACCCGACCTAAAAAGCAATATTTTAAGCATGGGTCAACTGATGGAGAAAGGTTACTCGGTTATTATGAAAGACCGGGTATTGTATTTGAAAGATGAGCAAGGTCGGATGATAGTCCGAGTTCAAATGGGTAAGAATCGTATGTATAAACTGAATTTGAAATGTGTACAGGTTGAATGTTTACAAGCCGAGGTAGAAGATAAGGCGTCACTTTGGCATCTCCGGTTTGGTCACCTACATTATGGTGGTCTAACCAAGTTGGCAGAGAAAAAAATGGTGGACGGGTTACCTGACATAAACTTTGAAGGAAAGTTTTGTGAAAGTTGTGTACTTGGCAAGCATGCCAGGATCACGTTTCAGAAGATGGCAAGATTCCGGGCTAAGCAACCTCTGGAACTAATACATACCGACTTGTGTGGACCCATCAATCCGGGTTCCTTCAGCGGTAAGAAGTATTTTATTTCCTTTATTGATGATTTCTCACGGAAAACTTGGGTTTACTTTCTGAAGGAGAAGTCCGAGGTGTTTGATGTGTTCAAAAAGTTCAAGGTGATGATTGAGAAAGCAACAGGAAGCTATATCAAATCGGTGCGGTCTGACAGAGGTGGGGAATATACCTCAACAGCGTTTATGTCGTTCTGTGAGGAACAGGGGATAAGGAGGTTTCTATCAGCACCATACTCACCACAACAGAATGGCGTGGCTGAAAGGAAGAACCGGACTATTCTTGACATGGTTCGGTCAATGCTGAAGAACAAAAGGATGCCGAAGGAGTTTTGGGCGGAAGCTGTGCAGTGTGCTGTGTATGTGCAGAACCGATGTCCACATTCAAGCTTGGATGACAAAACACCACAGGAAGCATGGAGCGGTCAAAAGCCTTCAGTGGCTCATCTCAGAGTTTTTGGTAGTGTGGCCTATGCACACATACCGGACCAGCTCAGAACCAAGCTCGAGGATAAAAGCAAGAAATATGTTTTTATTGGATATGATGAAAAAACAAAGGGGTATAAGCTGTTTGACCACGTCAACAAGAAAGTCATAGTGAGCAGAGATGTAAAGCTCAATGAAGCAAATGAGTGGGACTGGAGCAATTCATCTGAGATAAACTTTGAAGACGGAATCACAACACAAATTATCAACCCGGCAAGTCCTGAAGCTTCTGATGATGAAGACGAGGTACGACAACCCAGGATGCGGAGCATACAAGACATATATGAGGTACATTTTGTTTGTCTTCTTGCAGATTCTGAAAATAAAAGTTTTGAAGAAGCCATTCGAGATAAGAAATGGCAAGACGCCATGGATGAGGAGATAGAAGCCATTGACCGAAATAACACATGGGAGTTAGCCGAGCTACCAAAAGGAAGTCGGCCCATTGGAGTGAAGTGGGTGTTCAAGAAGAAGATTAATGCTCAAGGGGAGATAGAACGATATAAAGCTCGGCTAGTTGCAAAAGGTTATAAGCAGAAGGCTGGAATTGACTATGACGAGGTGTTTGCCCCTGTTACAAGGATGGAGACAATTCGGCTACTCATCTCACAGGCTGCTCAATACAGATGGCCAATACATCAAATGGATGTAAAGTCGGCATTCCTGAATGGTGTTCTTGAAGAAGAAGTTTATGTGGAACAACCGTCGGGCTACATGAAGGCAGGAGAAGAGAAGAAGGTGCTGAGATTGAAGAAAGCACTTTACGGGTTGAAGCAAGCACCACGAGCATGGAATGCTCGTATTGACAAATATTTCAAGGAGAATGGACTTGAACAATGTCCATATGAACATGTTGTTTATGTCAAGAAAAATGGAGGAGACTTGTTAATTGTGGCTCTTTATGTTGACGACCTCATTTTTATGGGAAACAATGCCAAGATGATACAAGAGTTCAAGAGCACAATGACAAGAGAGTTCGAAATGACAGATCTCGGTTTTATGAAGTTCTTTCTCGGTTTGGAAGTAAAACAAAATGAGAAGGGAATTTTCGTGTCACAGGAGGCTTATGCAAAAAAGATTTTGAAAAAGTACAAGATGAAAGATTGCAACCCGGTTTCAACACCAATGGAACCCGGTTCAAAACTTTCTAAGTTTGATGGAGGAGACCGTGTTGATGCAAGCAAGTACAGAAGTTTGGTGGGAAGCCTACGCTATCTCACATGCACGAGGCCGGATATCTCGTTGAGTGTCGGCATAGTAAGTCGGTTCATGGAGGAGCCAAGATACACACATTGGAAGGCGGTAAAGAGAATTCTGAGGTATGTTCAAGGTACAGTTTCACACGGGTTACACTACTCGAGCTCGGCAAAATACAAGTTGATTGGATATTCTGACAGTGATTGGTGTGGAGACGTAGATGATCGAAAGAGCACGGCTGGTTATGTGTTTTTCATGGGCAACACGGCATTCACTTGGATTTCGAAGAAGCAACCTATTGTGACACTGTCGACATGTGAAGCTGAATATGTAGCTGCATCTTGGTGTGTTTGTCATGCAATGTGGCTCAGGAATTTGCTAAGCAAGCTGGAGGAAAAACAAGTCGGCCAAACTGTGATCCGAATTGACAATAAGTCGGCTATAGAGCTAGCCAAGAACCCGGTAAATCATGAAAGAAGCAAGCATATTGACGTCCGATTTCACTTCATCCGGGATCAAGTAAAGGAAGGAAATGTGGAGCTAACACACGTGACCAGTCAAGAGCAAGTCGCGGATATCTTCACGAAACCACTACCGACGGTACTCCTTGACAACTACAAGAAATTGATCGGCATGAAGGATGGCAGAAGCATTTAAGTTTACGGGAGAGTTTTGTTGAATAAACGTTAAATGTGGAGTTATGTGTCAGTTTAATTTTAATGGGTTTAATTCAGCAATCAATTTAGTTTTTAATGGGTTTAATTCAGCAAACGTTAAATGTCAGTTTTATGTTTTTAAGTTTCTGAAATTATGTGAGTTTATTGTGATGTTAAGTGTCTTTATTGTAGAGTTACAAGTTTTGTAATTTAAATCTATTGTTTGAATGTAAAAGTTACGACTTCTGCCTTAGTAAAAATCCTTTGTTTTACTCTTCTCCTAACAGGAATGCGGTGATAATTCTTTAATTACATCTAGCATAATTTGAATTTAAGGCTACATCTGTTGTCAATTCTTTAATTACAACTAGCATAATTTGAATTTAAGGCTACATCTGTTGTCAGTCTCTTAGGTTTAGGTTTCTGTGCATTATTAGAATATAAGACTAAATAAAAGGAAACCCTCATGTGAGTTGATTTCTAAAAGATACATGGACAGTCTATTAATGTTCACACAACTTGTGAATCCTTCAAATCACATGCTCTCCATGGCTACTGAAGTTTTTGTAAATGGTGGAATGATAGACTATTATAGATCTGATGTGTCTTTCTTTACAGATGAGTAATGCATTTGTCACTATTCAGCACTAGTGTCATTGTTTTTAATTTTGCTAAAATTGCATTTATTGCTATTTAGTTTCCGCAGCGTACAATATTTTAGACTTTAGACACTTTGTTTCTGTAACTTGTTCAATACTGAATTAATGTAATGCAACTTGAAGGAATGTATCAGAAGAAGAGTTATGACATCATTGTCTGCAAATCCTTTTTGCTCTAGAGCAGCTGCCAAGGAGTCTATGGAAGCTGTGTGGGACATTTGTTACAATGATACAGAGCCTTTTGACAGAGCTCCTTAAAACTTGTATGGTTGTTACTGGCTTTTAGTATGGCAATCATAGGTTCCATTCTTTGGCTAGGAACTTTTTAAGGTGACCTCAATTGTGATTCAAATTGCATAACGAAGACTTATTTATTTTTAGTTGAGATCTCTTCATTTGTTGTAACTCCAGATGGAATTTAAATGTTCACTATAATTATGGCAGTTGTTTTCTGTCTAAAATTTTCTTTGTTGATTTAGCCTGGCTTCAATTCAATTTGGGAGGATTGCACTGTTTTATTTGTAATGATGATTATAAGTTAGATATATCTCAAAATTTATTATTCGTTCCAATGAATAAGTTAATCTAAGAGTTTATAGTACAGTATGAGTATTTGAGTATAAAACTAAGTACTCAGATATTCATATACAATATATAAAAAATAACGAGGGGTATTGAGCCGAAAATACTCTTGGTTTTTTTCCTACCACCATGTAAACGTGAGACTTTATTTAAGTTCAAGGACCATGCGGTCAAGTCAACATTGCTGTATTATTTTTGAAAAATTGATACTTCTTTTCCCTAGAAAGAAACAAAAAGTAGACCAAACATGTCTCTTACACAAACATACGATGTCTTCCTTTTACAAATCAGCGTGAGCCACATTAACCTATGACACCTAGTCTTTGTTCTATCTTTGTTGTATATAATAGCAGTGTTCAAGATTGCTGTCAGTGCTAGAAGCATACATAAAGGGTTGAAGGTAAAAGAGAGTATGAAGAAGGCTTAAAATGAAGGTAGTGGGGATGCTTAGAGTGATTCTTTGCTTCATCTTGCTCAGTCAGTATCAAACATTTTCTGTAAGACCCCATCTTTCAGGTATATATTTACTAACAATTTTTATTTTTATTTTTACTTTGGTTTCATTCTGTTCAATATGTGTATGAATATTGCCATAGATTGGTTGGCTTGCAGGTTCAGAGGGACTAAATGAACATGATCAGCAACACAAGAAAGGGCAAAAGCAGGTTCCTAGCTTGTGGTCTGAGGATTATTCTGTGCCTCGCAGAAGAAGGCCTGTGCATAATAAGTTAGATCCCTAATGATGTCAAAGTTTCTTTCAGCCTTTTCACACGTGTTTGTTTCCTCATACGTAAAACGTTGTAGGAAGAGGTTACTCGTCTCATTAAAATATGGAGCTGTAATGTGTTCTATATAGCTATAGTAGTGTTGTTCACATGCGTTTCCACTTCATGAAATCATGCATCTCTGCCACCATTTACCTTGTTGACTTTCGATAGTGCCACTATGAATAGCTTCAGTCTCTCAATTCTGAGCTTGAATTTGAAAGAAAATCACATGCCTATTTCTACCTGCAATTTTGAATCAGCATTTTGTCATGAACCAGCTCTCCTAAAACTTAAGTTGTTAGGCAAAAGTACATGAATGATATCATATTATATTTCTGGATACTGTGGATAATGAATAGGACCATTATGCCATGAGTTTTTTTTTTTTTTTTTTTTAAGATATTCCAATTGGTTTATCGCTTCGCGACTGGTCTGATTTGGGACAGGTTCCTAGATTAAGGCTTAAAACTCCTCTAAAAAATGGTACTGAAGAAGATCGAATACATGTTCTCACTCCTACATACTTAGTTTTCTAGTCCAACTGAGCTACCATTATTTGGTAAAGTCACGAGTCTTTAGTTATAGAAACTCTGATACCACGTCATGAATTAACTCTTCTAAAAACTTAATTTTTAGATGAATGAACAAGAGTGATTTTACACCCCTACAGGCTACACCTCTTATAACTGCAATTTAATTCTACCCAACTACAATTAATGAGTATATCCCATATTTCTTAGAGTTGGCTTGTTGTGTGGCTTCCAGTCCTGTGCTACGTAAACGTGAATTTTAATCGCTAGAATGCATCTTAGAAGCTATTACCAAGTTTTTGGATTTTATTAAGAGATGGAGCCTAAAACCTATTATTGCATTTGAATTTTGAAACGATGGGAGTCATCTTTATCATGTTGGCAAGGTTTGTCAAACCAAATGATTAGTTTAGTGCTGTTTCTAGCCTTGGTTCGTTCCAAATGCGCTAATTAACCATTTTTTTACTCAACCAATTTATTGCAAATCCAATTAATCTGGTTAGAGAATTGTCGAATTCCTAGTACTTTTTATTTTCCATTTCTAGGTCTCAAACTTGAGATTTTAAATAAGGAGAAAGAAATTCCTTACAACTTAAATAGTTGTTGTTGATGTAAATGCTTACAAATTAATACTATCTAGCTGCATATGAGCTTAAGAGAAATCACATTTTTAACTTTATTGGTATTTTAACGTAATCAATTTTAAATTTGATCGTCGTATGCCGAAAGAGGAACTTCCCTTTGTGACCTCAAAATAAATTGAGAATGCTAATATAGGAGAAATATTATATTTACAAATTGAATTCTGTATTTTCGAGAAAAGACTCAGTTAAAAATGCTTTTCCAGAAATACATAATATAATTTGTAAGAATTTATAAATCAAAAAATTTGTAAATATAATCTACTCCTTAACATATATTGACCAAATAATAGGGAGACCAAAAACAATAACATAATGACCAAATCAGAGAAGGCGCCAAAAGCAACGACAATAACATGGATAGACCAAATCAGAAGAGAGAGACCAAAAGCAACAAAAAAATCATTAAACAAAGGTAGAAATATCTTGTCCCTAAAAAAAGGTAAAAATGTCTTCTCTCTCGATGCAATCTGTATCCCAAGAACTCTGAATGCTGATCACTGAGGATGCGCATGCAATGCAATCAACTTTAGCAGCTTCCATAATGTTCCAAAAGGCACCAGGCATGTTCAGTTTGTGTCACTTTCCTCTTATTAAATTCTCAAGTTGAATTATTTTAGCTGCTGGCTTGGACCATCTTGTGATAGTGTCAATATGTCACACTATTCTTGCCTTGCATCAGATTCTTCTCTGTGCATAAAAAAAAATTATTTAGAAAGAGACTGTTGTCTGGATTCATCTTTGTATATTATGTAGAAAAATGCTACCTTTGGAGAAAATATATATTTGGTTAGGTCTTGTCATGTGCATGGGAGATTAATAAATGTATGTATACATTATATTATTTGAGCTCAGAAGATTATACAAATAATTGGACCTATAGATATTTCATACGAATTATATTATGGACAACGCGAGTTTCCTCTTTTCAACAAGTATCTAATTAGATACTATGTGATATTTTAAATATTTTAATAAGATATTTTAAATATTTTATTATAATAAAATATTTCATGAGTAGTCATGCTTCTTGACTACGTACGGATTAAGTCGAAGCTTAAGACAAATTTGCAAAGGGTGTAGCTGCTAATAAACTTCACTTCCTTGCAATAAGTATTAGAGATTCATTAATTATCAAAGCTAATGCTACGAGATTTATGCCTATTTCTTTTTCATCTAAAAGTTCGTGCCTGACATATTACTGATTATTTAATTATTAGTTAAATTGTTCAACAAATGATAAATATTATTGATTAATAATTAATTCATCTTACGGAATAATAGAAGTATAATATATTTCTGCTTAATTATTTGGAGTACTTGAAAAATTCGATTTTCGGGGGAAGCTTATGAAATCGTCAGATCTAATGAATTAGAATCTAATCACTCACTCCTTTCAAGCGATTTTAGTTCTGTTGTGCTCACTAAGCATAGTTAGAAAGCTTGTCAGCTATCATTGGTGTCTCGGATACGAGCAATGATCAGTCACAATTTACAAGTTTATTTTATTCACACGCTGAGAGAGGCTAAATGCTACGCTAATTGCTACGCTAATTGGAGGCTAAATGCTACGCTAATTGGCTGGCAAATTTTCTACTTGATCAACTAGACATGGATGATGAATGTTTTTTTGTTTGGATCCTCCTCCCGGTCTTATCCTGTATTTGTTTGCGAACTCTTTAGTCACTCCTCGTCTTAGAGGTGGTCAATAATTTTTTTCTTTGTTTTAGAATTTCTTCGTTTATAAAAAATAAAATAAAAAAATCTAACTACTCACAAATGAGATTCTATATTTTGTCTCTTTATCAAAGTGGGTAGCATGATATAATAGCGAAAACCTCCGCATTTGATATGATTAAAGGAGTTAGTTGTAAGCGTTATTCTCAAAAGAGAGAGAGAGAGAGACAGAATTGTAAATGAAAAATATGATTGGATACGTTTCTTCAAGGTGATTATTATGTTGTTCCTGTTATTTGAAGACAGTGAGTGATATTAAATCACTAAGAGGTTTGAACCCATGTATACAACAGAGGAGATTAATAATCAGAATTATCATACACAGTGCAATTATGAAAATTAGAACAGACTTACTTGATGTCAGTATAATGGAACAGACAGATGAATGTATGCAGAATAATGGAAAAATCCGAGCCCACAAAATGTGTCTCCTTAAGACAATTTGCCCCCTCACTGATGCCAAAGGTTGATGGACAAGTGTCTCCCATGATAAAACAGATTTCGTCTGAGGAGTGGCGGCACTACCAGTCGACAGCCCAAACGAACACAACAATATGCCAGAGGAAAGTACACCGAAAATCAGAAAGGAGGATGCAAACCGGAAGAAGGAAAAATTCTGGCAGAGTAACAGTGCAGAAAATTGGATAAAATTTCTGAAGGTGTCAAAGTCTATTATAGATACTGACCGGTCACAATGAACCGCTGCCGGGGCGAATCGCCGTGACTGACGGTCGCGAACGGGTACGACCGGTGACCGGTTCGCGAAAGGTAAGAACCGGTTCAGTTCAAAACTCTCAAAAAATTGGCGGGTAGAAACGTTTGGTTTTGGAAAAATTGGAGGGAAGTAACAGATAGTCATAGGGGAATTTTGGACAAAAAATTAAAAAATAAATTAATAAATTTTTTTTTTTTTTTACACACACGTATGAACTGAACCGATCTGAGACGGCAGCGGTGGCGCATGTGTGTGTTGTGAACCCAAGCCCGCCTAGCTCCTCTCCCCTCCACAAAATGTGTAGTGTCCCAAGAGAAAACTTAGGAGTGTGAGGTGAGAGCTTATAAACTCTCTCACCTCCTACTAGTTGTCCAATGTGGGACTTCTTAAACCCACACACCCCTTCAACTTCTTTTTTCTCTTTTCTTCCTTAACCCACTTCTTATTCATAACCAATAGATTGTCTATACAATTTCAACATAAATTCTAACAATCCCCTACATGGATAAGAAGTCAATTCATCGTGACAAAAAATGCAAAAGAATATAAATGCAAAGTGTAATTTCCTCAACGAGAAACAACTGCATCGAGATAGGTAGAGTTACCTTTGAACCTTCTCTAGTGAAAACCCATCGGATATACTCGGTCAATAGGTGGTCTGGGCGACTTGAACCGTCGACCTTTATTGTATACCTAGACATTAGGAGTCACACAATTGCTTATCCTAGCATTATTGGTCCTTTGTTGTGCCCATTTTGGCCGTGGGACACCTATCTGGTTCTGCGAGTGTTTTAGAGAATAAACCTTTGAAAAATTCTCATAGAAGCGGCCCTCACTTCACACTCACATAGGTAATTTCTTGTGATGTAACTCATTATACATCATCTGAACACAACAGATTAAAAAAAAGCCTAAATGCTTACCCTCATAAATACAATGT